GTCACTCGCACCCGTGGCAAGGGCGCGCGATACAAGCCTGGTATGATTTGCATGGGAATCAATGCCAACTCCTGGAGCTCGCTTCTCGACTACCTGGACGCCCACCCGCTCGGCACCAACGTGCTGGCCTTCGTCCAGGAGCACAAGCTCACTAAGGACTACATCGGTGAAGTTAGTGCGTCATGCTTTGATCGTCACCTGGCGGTTGGGTTAGCCCAGGCCAGCACAGGCCCAGGCGGAGGACGCGTGGCAGGCGTCGGTTTCCTGGCCCCGCGAGCGCTGGGGCTCACCTTCCTAGAGGGCGTCAACACCTACGACTTCTCGCCGCCAGGCTCCGCAGGGCGACTCGCTGCCGCCTGGACTCCTGGCTTCCTGCGCGGCGGCCTGATGGTGCTTACCGCGTACTTCTGGGATTCGGAGGGCTGGACGCTTCGGAACCTCTCTCCCCTGGACGCCATCGGGGAGATCGTCAGGTCGTATGACATTCCATGGATCCTCCAGGCCGACTTCAACAACACGCCCGAGTCGCTCCTGGCGGGAGGCTGGTGCAGCGACGTAGGGGGGATCATCCTGGCGCCAGTTGAGCCCACGTACCAGGGGCGAGGCGGTGGGCGCACCATTGACTTCTTCGTGGTGGACTCCCGCATCGCCCATGCCTTCGGTGCGGCCACGGTCCGGGACGCGGCCACTTACCCGCATGGCCCCGTCACCATCACCACCACCGCGCCAGTGAGAGCCATGACGGGTTGGCGCCCGATCAAGCCCAGGGCGTTCCCCACCAGGCTGCCTATCGGATGCCGCCCTCAGCCGCCGACCTGGCCAGACATCCAGCCCCTGGGCCAGTACACGGACGACCAGCTGGAAACGCTCTGGCGCCAGTTTGCCGCGGCGGCGGAGACGGAGCTTCAAGGTCTGTGTGATGTCGGGGGCGAGGATGACTATCGAGGTCGCGGCGAGGCCCCGCGGTGGGCGCGCGCCCCGCTCGCAGGCCCACTGGCCTATGCGAGGCCGCGAGGCACCACGCGCTCCCGAGCATGGCGCTGGGTGGCAGCGCGCGTGGGCGACCTCGTCCTGCTGGCGGACGCGGCACGCCGGCCGGGGCGGGGGCCGCTGGCCAGTCGCTGGCGCAGGCTGCATGGGCGCCTCACCAATGGCTCCTCTCGCTGGCGCGCGGCCATGGGCGACGATGCGGAGGCGACGCACGGCGAGCTGCTGCGTCTCGCGGCTCTGGCCTGGGAAGGCGACAGCCTCCGCTCGGACGCCCCGCAGGCGATGCAGCTGCAGCGGCGCGCCGCCTCGGAGGCCAAGGCCATCGAAACTGCCCTGCATGGGGCAGCGGGCTAAGGCTTGGCGCGAGCGGCTTCACGCAGGCTCAGCTGGGGGAGCAGGCTTCATTCATCGTCTGTCGAAGTGGAGGCCTGGAGCGGCGCCTTCCACAGGAGCTCGAGGCCACACCAACCTCGATTTGGCGGACCCCCAGGTCGCGGTGGACGCTGAGGCGCTCGGCTGGATTGAGCTCTGGCAGCCCCACGGCGCCGAGAGCCGCGGCGAGCTGCCTAGGCCATGGGAGGCAGCGAAATTCTCCACGTGTCTGGCCCATCCCACCCCCGACGATATTCGCATGATTTGTCCGTCGTTTCCTGAACACACGGGGGTAGGGGTGGACAACTGGCACCCGAGGTGGTGGGCCTTTCTGAGTGATGATGGTTTGGAGTTTTTGGCCAACTTCGTGGTCTTCGTTTCTCGGACGGCGCGCTGGCCCACCCAGCTGCGATACGTTCTGTATTTCCTGTTTTCTAAACCCTCGGGGGGCACCAGGCCCATAGGTCTCCTCACCACCTCCGCCCGAGTCGTCGAGCGAGCTCACGCCGCCTTGTTTTTCGACTGGGAACGATCGATTCGCCGAGATTACGATTTCGCCGCGCCCGAAGGGGGGTCGGAGGCGGCCATGTGGCATCAGATGTTAGTAGACGAGGGAACCACCCCTGGCGAAACGTCGGGCACGGCAGTTCTAGATTCGCAAAAGGCCTTCGAGCATTGCAGTATGTATTTGTTGTGGGCGGAGGCCCCCAGACATGGTTTCCCTCCTCAGCTGCTCAAGTTGCTTATTTCCATCTATACCAGCGAGCGGCCGGTTTCCTTTCGAGGGGCGGTCTCCCCCCACACCGCCACCACCTTTTCCGCTGTTGTGGCGGGCAGCACGGGAGGTGCGCGTTGTCTGAAGCTGGCCATCCTGTCGGTCACCGACTCGATAGTCAGACTCCAGCCGACGCCCCATCTCAAGCTGTTCGTCGACGACCTCAGCCTACAGGCTCGAGGTTCGGAGGAGGCTGTGTCTTTGGCCTTGCACGATGGGGTCTCTCACTATGTGCAGGCCATGGAGGCCCGAGGCATTCCTGTGTCGAGAGCTAGGCCAGGGGGACCCCCAGGGAAAGGGTCCATCTTGGCTGCTTGCCGCCCCCCTTCGCCAGCGTTTGAGGGGATGGGCGAGGAGTCTTGGCCTCACCACTCACACTTCTAGCACGCAACTGGGGGTGGAATCAGCTGGAGGCGCCCCCCTTTCCAATCGCCCCCGCTTCGGGGAACGGATGGTTTCCGCCCAGAAGCGAAAAAGGAAGCTAGCCAGTCTGGCTAAGCAGGGGGCAAAACCTTTCAAGGTCGCGCGGATGGGATTCATGCCGTCGGCGATGTACGGCGCGGCCTGTCTCGGGCTGAACCCCACCCGCGTAGACCAAGCGCGCGCGCTGATGGCCAGCGCCCTCGGAGGTCAGGCCATAGGCAAGGACCGCGCCTTACGCCTCTGGCTTCTAAAGTGTGACCCCTTGGTGGACGCTTGTACACGCCCCCTCTTGGAATGGGCCAAGGCCGTGCGGATAGGCCGCCACGAGGACCTGATGCGGGCAGCGTGGCGCCGAGCGTCGGCCGCGGCGGCCCAGGCCTGCCCTGGTCGCAGCCTTTGGCGAGGTATCAGAGGACCAGCCACGGCCGTGCTCGCGACGCTCCGTGGGCTCTCGTGGTCCTGGCCAGCCGTCGCGGTCTTTCGCGACCACCTGGGGAACATTTGGGATCTTAGGCGGGAAGCCCCCACCTGCGTCAAGGCCATGATTTTTGCCAGGCTTGAGTTTCAGGAAATGTCGGCCTGGGCGGAGTCTCGGAACCTTGGGATCGGGCGGCCTTTTCTCGAGCCCGTTCGGGCCCTTCTTCGCGCCAGGAGAAACCGATCGAGCAACCGCCAGTCCGCCATTTTGGCATATGTTGGCCGCGATTTTTGGACGCAGGACAAAGTTTGGAGCGCTGGGTACGGGCATGACAGGTCATGCCAGCAACGCGGTGTGGCTATAGGTTGCCAGCACCACAGATTTTCCCAGTGCCAGGCCACTAGCGCAGCCCGAGCAACTGTGGCAGAGCGAGAACACCTCCAGGGGATCGTCCATCGCTTCGAAGCCTCCTCCTCGGACTCCCTCCTCTTCTCTCGCGGCCTGGTCGAACATCCCCTGGAGGACCCTTTTTGCGGATGTCGCCCCTGCCATCGACCATCGAGGCCTTGAGCCCTGGGTTCGAGAACCCGCCGCTCACGCAGGGATGGGCGTATACCGATGGTTCGGGTCGAGGCCAGCCAGGGCGAAAGAGCTTTGGATGGGGACATGTCGTTTTGGACACGCAAGGGGCCGTTGTCAGGGCCATGCACGGCTCGCTTCCAGGTTTGAGATGTTTTAGTTCGGTTCTGCGTGCCGAAATCTTTGCCCTGGCTAAACTTCTAGAGTGTGACACTCCACCACTGAGAGTGGGCATAGACAATAGCACGGTCATTCGCGGTCTCTGTAGAGGTAGTCGTTGGTGCCTCCGACCGTCTCGGCCGCACTCGGATCTCTGGGCGCGTGTTTGGTTTTTGATTCAGGGGGGCTTTGCGGCCCAGGGCGATTTTCGGTTTGTGAAAGTGCGTGCGCACTCTCGCGGGCCCAGGGACGAAACGGGGGAGGCCCGTATAGACTTCCAAGGCAACCAGCTAGCGGGCGCAGAGGCGAAAGCTGGAGCCGAATGTCAGGCGGTCCCCCCCCTGGCGCTGTGAGACCTGGGACTCCCGCTCGCGAGAGGTCCAAGGCGTGCTCGATCTTGTGGCGGGGGTGACTACGGCGGTGGGGGACTTCAGAGATTCCACGGGGCGACCCGCCGCTGGCCCAGGACAGCCTCGTCGCCGCGTGGGATTGCCACCAGGGGCAAAGCCCCATGCACTCGTCTGGACGAGAGGCGCGTGGCGCTGTCGAGTCTGTTGCCGCCACGCTTTTAGTCGCAAGGCCAGGAGCGTGTTGCAACGCAAGCCCTGTCGGGGGAGGATGGGGTCGGACCGTCGTTACGTCTCGAGAGTGGGGGAGGGAGAACTCGACATCCCAGCGGCCTTCCGTGGGGAAGCCCTGAGGCACTCTCTTCACATCTCGGGTCAATATACTTACTGCGCCAGATGCGGGGTGTTTTCGAGCGAGAGGGGATGCAAGCTGTTGGAGGTGTGTCTTGGGGCCCCTGCGAATCCCACGGCGTCGTATCGCCTCTCGCTCCTTTCCCGCGCGCGGAATCCTTATAGCGTCAAGCTCGCTGTTGGTGAGGCGTCCCGCTCCCTCTTGCCGTGGGAAAAGGATGCCTTCTGGGAGCGAGCTCTCGTCTCCAGCTAGGGCTGGGCGAGCGTTGCGGAGCTAAGGTGAGGCACCTTTTCAGTGTGCCCCTGCAGGCTCCCTCTTTTCCCGAAGGCTAGCTGAGGCACTGTGGGCCAGGTTAGTTCTAGCAGCAAAAACCTCCTCCTCCTCCTCCTCCTCCTCCTCCTCCTCCTCCTCCTCCTCCTCTCCTCCTCCTCCTCCTCCTCCTCCTCTCCTCCGCCTCCCTCACTCCTCCACTCCTCCTCCTCCTCCTCCTCCTCCTCCTCCTCCTCCTCCTCCTCCTCCTCCTCCTCTCCTCTACCTCTACGACTACTACTACTACTACTACTACTACTACTACTACTACTACTA